AAAATTAACTCAAAATGGAACACAGATTTAAATGTAAGGGGAAAACAATAAAATTTCTAGAAGAAAACATGAAAAAAATTTGTGAGCTTAGTTAATTTTTTCTTTTGTTTTTTTAATTTACATATTTATTTATTTATTTAGTGATAGGACACAAAAGACACGAACCATAAAAAAAGATCAGCATTTTGGCATTCATCAAAAGTAAAAACTTCTGCTTTTGAAAACACACATCTTAATAAAATGGGAGAAAATATTTTTGAAAGATTTACCTAATAAATTGCTTGTATCCATAGTACAAAAACGCTCATACACTCATAAATAAGAAAAGCAACTTATTTTTTAAATATACAAAAGATTTAGACAGATATGTCTGAAAAATATATGTGTATGTAGAAATGGAAAATAAGCACATGAAAAGATGCTCAGTATCATTATTCACTAGGAAAATGCAAATTAAAACCACAAAGAGATATAACTAGAGACAATGTATCCACTAGAGTGAATAAAATTAAAATATTAATAACATCAAATGCTAAGGCTGTGGAGGAGCTGAACTTTCATACGTTGCTATTGGGAATGTAAAATGACAATCACTTTGGAAAACAGTTTATATTATACGTTAAAAATTGGTGAACTATATGTTATTACATTAATAAAGCTGAATTTTTTAAATCAACATTTTTAAACTAGTAAAATAAAATTCTGATTATATCTTAGAGTGGTTTAACATTTTTTAAATACATGCCAATATTTCCCCCTGTTGTTCTTGTATCCTTCCTCCATACAAACAGTAGATAAGTTCACCTTGCCTCAAAATAAGCGGTGACAGCAGAAAGCAGAAACACAGAGTCTTTTTCCTAACCTATGAATTTTAAAATCCTGAGCCTGAGGAATAATGGAAAGGACTCAGAACATATACTTACTAAAGCCAGGCATGTGAACAATATAAAACAAAAAGAGAACACAGGGATGAGAGTGTGCAAACCTTATAAGGAGCCACTATGCAGCTCCAGCTTCACTAAATAAAAATTTGGTCCCAGTATTGCCAGATCATTTTTCCCCAAAAAGAAATCTAGAAATCTTAATTTTTATGTAAAATTTCCCAATTTTTACACACAATAGTCATTTCTATAGGTCAAATTCAGCTCATGGATTCACATCTGGCACAGAACACAGATTTAAAACATCTTCTAAAAAAGACTTTCTCATACTCCAAACTTTGGAAAGGTTCCCTGGAAGGAAGAAAACTGGAGTCAAAGGAACAACTGAATGGATAGACATTATTTTTACAAGAGAACAGAGGCAATGTGCATCCCATGTTGTAGGTACAGACTCAAGGAGGCAGGAAGATCACACAGAATTGGATGGATAATGTGAGAGGCATACAAGGGAATTAGCCTCGCAGTTTCCCAAGCCCCACCCAGCCCTAGAAAGGCGTAGGCAGTGGCACTCTCAGGGAACTCTAACGTCTTACTGGAGCTGGAGACAACAGAAAGATTATAATATATTCAATAGCATGAAAATTGCAGGAAGAGTTGCTCTGCCAGCTAAAACCGTGTGGATGAGAATGAGGGATAAGTCAACAGCAATGTGTGATCACAACTAACTTCAAAAACAAAATGAAGGATGAATATTTCTATGGATGCCACTACTGTGGAAAGATGAAACGTGGAAAGCGGACGTGAAGTTCAGCTCCTCCACAGCCTTAGCATTTGATGTTATTAATCAAACGTGAAGATGTCTAGTAGGACCCACTACCCCAATGGAAGAATTAGCAGAGCACTAAAAAAAGGTAATAGATCCTCTTTAACACTAACATTTCAGCAATCTTTCCAGAATGTTGGCTCAAAATAAAACTGAGTTATAAAAGAAAATAACAAAAAAAATGTACTCCTTGAATACTTGCTATTGTAAACTGAGATGTATTTCCATAGTTTGCCCTGTGAAAGGAAGTTATCAAAGGAAGGAGGAATCATTTTATTTTGTTTACTTTCTTTAGATGAGTTTTGCCAAATAAATATTGGATTTGATAATATGTCCTACAGATAGTCCACAAGAGCATAAGACTTTGAATCACTAGTACTCACTAGATTATAGAACTAATTTCCTCAGATGACCTCTGTAACAATTTTACTAAACAAACTCGGTTATCAAATACATTTATTAAGTTCCCTAACCTCATTTTCAAGTAATAAATTGTCTTAGAGAAAGTCTAAATGATGGGTACCACTGGACAAAGTAAAACTCATTCATTCTGCAACTATTTAAATACATATAATAACAATACCACTAAAATTTATTGGCTTATATTGGAAAAAGTACAGGTCTGAGGCACTAACAAGGAGGAAGCAAAGAGGTTGTCAAAATGTGTATATGTGTGTATATATAAATTATATTTTCTAATTTTAAAAAAATGACCACATAATCCTTTAATTTCCAGAAAATTAGAAAGTGTGTGTTTTAAAATATCTTTTAAATTACCCCTTTAATATATTCTTAGGAATTTAATAGCACATTGCCTAATTAAACATGACTAATACCTAGATCTACACTGCTGCAATTACCCCAATAATTCAGGCAAAGTGCCTACTTTAATGTAGTCTGATAATTAACCAAGTGCTTCCAGCAGCTGTGGCACTTCAGAACCTCTGGACTTTCAGTTTTCTTCTCTGTAAAATGGGGACAAATACCTGCAAATGCCTATACAATCTAACATTTACCAAAGTATCTAACCTAGTGTCTGATACATAATAAGCCCACAAGAATATATGCTGATTAGCCACCACTGTTCACTTCTAATGGACTCTGAAAGAACTAATCAATTAAATCTTTCTAGGAAAACAGTCACCTATTTCATCATGGTACTGTGTACCCTTCCAAAGTTAAAATAGACCTTCAGTAGTGCCATCCAGTTCAAGCTATCCTTGAACAACCACTTGCCATTCCTACTTCAGTATTTATATTAATAAATATTATTAAATGCAACTGGATAAGTGCTTATGAATTCTCCTGAAACATTGCAGCTCCACTTTTTTTTAAGATAGTCTTAAGTCAAGTGAGTTCATACTGCCTATCTGCTCTCAACCCCCTAAGTGTGACTTGCCATCACATTTAGAGTAAAATCCAGGGACTTCAAGTGGCCCATCAGCCTTTTGTGATCCAAGTCTTAACCTCATTTCCTACCACTCTCCCACTCCATCCACTCTGCCTCTCACTGAGCCTTGAACACACCAAACATAAACCTTTACACTTGACTCATCCTGCTGCCAATTACTCATTGCCCTGAAACATATGGTTTGTTCCCACACTTCATTCAGACTCCTACTTAAATGACTTCCATACAGAAAACTTTGTTGATGACCCTTTCTAAAGTAGCATACCCTGCTATTCTCTATCCCCTTCATCTACTTTTTTCCCATAACAAATCAAACATACATTTATACATTATATACATCTGTTGCAATGTAAGTTCCATGAAGATCAAGACTTCGTCTCATTGGCTATATCTCCAGGACCTAGACCACTGCCTGGTATAAAGTGACACTGACTTATCACTGACAGTGAATCTGTTTGAATTAACTAAGTTGGAGAATTTGAGTATTATAGGAAAGCTTTCAGCAAACGACAGTGGAATGAGGAGGGAGAAGACCAGTGATAGTTATGGTGACCATGTAAACCTAGAATACTTGTGGATGGAAAAGATAAAATGCTGGAGAAACCAGATTAACACCAGAATTAAAGTAAGATTTTTTAATAGGCGGAGGATGGTAGGGAGAATGGCAGCCATGGTGGAAGCAAAAAGAAGGCTTCGGGTGGTTAGGCCTGAGCCCTGTCTCTCCTCATCTTTCCCTTAATGTTTCTTCTCTCAGTATCTACCCACTTTTGCCACCTCTTTTCCTCCTCTTGGCTTCCTGTCATAAATTGATTTTTCACTTGTATATTGTCTTCAAAGAGATTTTTCCCCTGTGAATCAGTCTCAGTAGAAGAAAAGCTCTCTGATGAGAAAACTGTTGAATACAGTTGATATTCCTTTAAATGCCAAGAACACCAACACCATCATCATCAATGTCAAGCACTAATCATGAAGTCAATAGACTGTAGCAAAGAATCATGAAGTCATTGCCTTTTACCTCCTACATCATATAGTTACTATATTATTGACTATATTCCCAATGCTGTGCTTTACATCCCCATGATTATTTTATAACTATTAATTAGTACGTCTTAATCCCTTCACCTTTCTCAACCACTGTTCTGTACCCCTGAAACTAGTATAAAATAATATTGAATGTCAACTGTAATTGAAAAACTAAAACATATATTCTGAGTGATTTGGGATTTTATCTGCTTGATTTTCTTCTCTTCCTTCTGTAGAATATAACTTCAAAATATAATCAGGATCTTTTTAGCTTTACTAAATATAATTAATATATTTAAAAATTACACATAATATGTACAGTTTGATGATTTGGACATATGCATATACCCATGAGATTATCACCACAATCAAGCTGCTATAACTACATCTATCATCTCCAAAAATATGCTTGGGTTCTTTTGTGCTTTTGTTTCTGTTCTACAGTAAAAATACTTAACATGAGATCTATCTTCTTAATATATTTTGTGCATAATAATGTATTGTTAACTACAAACACTGTGTTATACAACAGACAACATCTTTGACTTCTATCTCACATTCCTTTAAAAAAATGCCACATCCACTTACATATATTTGCCCAAATCCCAAGCCTGGTATTGCTTTGTCTAAGTTGATCCTGGTGCTTACTCAAGTCAAAATAAATAAAAACTGGCAAACAGTCCGATCAGGCTTATAAGTGATTGTATGCATATGCCTCTCCCCACCCCTCACCAAATGACAGTGGGCTTGGTGTTTAACTGGACTCTTTGAAGAATAATTCCTAATATATTAGCAGCAGCCAACATAATAACATCTATTAATCTCAGTCAAGTACCTCCCAAAATTCAGAAGGTCAACTTACTCATTTCGAAATCTTTCAGTAGGAGGTTACACAAGAAGATTATCTCTGGAGTTCAAAATGAGTCTTGAGAAAGTAAATTATAAATCAAAATTTTAGGAGAAATTCATAGTGAAGCTCATGTTTTCCCCATTAATCCTAGACAGAAAAGAAAAATCCAAGAAAGAAAAAATGGGTTTAATTTTTTTTAATAGCAGGCATATTTACAAGTGACAAAGCATTAAGATTTATAAACTACAATGGTGACCTACTTAGATTTAATCAATATACTCAATAACAAACAAGATGCCCAGTCTTAAATGATTTATTTCATTATTTTGGTGACTATGCTTACACTAATTCCAATTACAACCATAAGCTCAAGACTTAAGAGAAAAATATACAAATTAAATATCAAAAAGCCAAGAGCATTTACCTCCTTTATGTCTTTTCCTGTTTCATCTTTCCAGTTCCCCACACCCACACTCCCTGTCTCTGTCATTGTATATTTAAGCCCAGAGTACTATCAAGTCTAACAGGGTTAGTGTAAAATATGTAAACCTGGAAGTGTGATGTTATTTGTTTTTCTTAGTTCCTAGACTGAAAAATGCTAATACCAATGTAAAAAGATGATTGCTTGTATGAATATGTGTATACATCTATACATATATATGTTGCTCCCCACCCCTTACCAAAGCTGTGCCTTCACAGCCAGTAGAAAATGTAAAAGTTCAGAATATAACAACTGTTTGTACTCATCGGTATTTGTACCACAACATATTTACTAATAAATAACAAAGGGATAGGTCCAAATTTAGGTTAGCAGCCTAATTTGGCTTAAAACAAAATACATCTTCCTAAAGCATTCTAAAATAACTTATAACCATAAAAGGTAAGTATGTAAAGGACAAAAGTCCAGAACAATACTAATAGCAGAAAAATATTCTGCTTTTCATTTTCACTAACTTGGTGTTAACTTAATGAAATCTGACATTGCTATCAGCATAGTACAATAAACATGAAAAGTGTACAATGTACAAAAAAATGAAAATCTCTTATGACAACAGCAAAAACAAAAATTATATTTTCTCTTTTCCTTTCACATGCCCTCTGTGTTAGCTTGAGAACATATGACCTTGTTATCTACATACTATCATAAAAATAAAATTACTGGTGTGCCTAGATGGAGACTTCAAAAATAACTGAGAAAGATTATACTTCTCTGTACCCATAAAAGAACCATCATACAGGACCTAGTTTTCATTTCCTTATGTTAGAAGCTGTACTAAATGCAGCTAAATAAGAGAAAAATACCTAAATAAGTCTCAGAAGTAGTGTAAATAGGTATTATATCTGCTGAAATCTTAAATCTTACATTATTTAAAGATTTAAATCACTTTTAAAACACACTTTATTAAAAATTTTAAAGTCATATCTTGTTTATCTTTTTTTGTAAATAGATATATTCCTAATAATATTTTTGTATCTTATGTTACTCATATAAATAAAAAGCAAATAGTCATTTTAGGGATTAATAGAAAAATAGACATTTGCATGAAACATTTCCCTCATTAGATATTACCATGTTAGCATATTTTTCCTATTTCTGATTTTACTACAAAATAAAATGAGCTGATTTTTACCCCTAAGTTTCTCTATAATGTATATTGCTCAATAATGTAAATATTTTAATTTTACAATAGAAGACTCTCATGTTCCTATAAAAAATTACTAACTGAATCAGTTTGGCGCTAATTTAGGAAGAGGCTGAGCAAAGACTCATGTGAAATTACCTGGGATTTTTAAAAAGATAGCTTTTAATTTAAAAGTAATGTTTAAGTAATATTTGGTATCAGTGGTAAATGTTCTGCCAATTTGACATGGTCTTATCCTGATTTTTGTGTTATAAAGTCTCTTTGGGGCTAATTTCTATAGTAATTTTTTATAGGAACATGAGAGTCTTCTATTGTAAAATTAAAATATTTACATTATTGAGCAGTATACATTATAGAGAAACTTAGGGGTAAAAATCAGCTCATTTTATTTTGTAGTAAAATCAGAAATAGGAAAACAGTATGGAATTTTCTCAGAAAAATAAAAATTGACCTGCCTTTTGACCCAGCAATTCCACTGCTAGGATTATACCCCAAGAATCCTAAAACATCAATTTCAAAGAACCTATGCACCACAATGTTCATAGCAGCACAGTTTACAATAGCCAAGAGTTGGAAGCAACCTAGGTGCCCATTAGTAAATGAATGGATCCAAAAATTGTGGTACATATACACCATGGAATTCTATGCTGCAGAGAGAAAGAAGGAGCTACTACCTTTTGCAACAACATGGATGGAACTGGAAAGCATTATGCTGAGTGAAATAGGCCAGGATGCTGAAAGACAAATACCATATGATCTCACCTTTGACAGGAAGCTAAACAATAAAACAAACAAGCAAACAGGAAAAAAAAAAAAAACAAAGACACTGAAATAGAGAACAAGGGGATAGTGACCAGAGGGGAGAAGGAAGGGAAGTTAAGGGGAAAAAGGGGGAGGGATTTTGAGGAACAAGTATGAAAGACACAGAGATGAGGACTGGGGGGGGGGGAATGAGAGGGAGGGGGGAGACCGGGCGGGGGGGGGGGAAGAGAAAAAAAAATGTACTTGAAAAGTAACTAAATAAAATTTAATATTAAAAAAAAAAGAATCAATTAGCAAAAAACTAACACCCAATCAACTAACTTAACAAACTAGCCAAATTGTATTCAAAAGCAATTGACTCTTTTGTCAGAAAAAAGGAAAAACAAAACAGAAGAACTTTGGAATAAACCACATTTTTTAAAAAAAGAAAAAGAAATACACATTGGGTCTGGTGAAACTTTTCTGAAAAGCAATTTCAAGTAATATACAGCGTCCAGCAGAAGTAACACCTGCCTGAGTGTGGTTGGTAGGGTTTAACGTGTGAATGTCTCGCATGAGATAGACAACAATTTGAACATTTCACCTAAAATGTCATATTGTCGGCCTGTGTGTGATATTGTTATGTTACAGAACTACATGCTTATGACTTTGTAATAAAAGATTTTGTAATAAAAAGGGGTGTTATTTGTGCTGGACCCTTTATATCAAATGTTAATGTTCATTCTCCCTGACCAGGAATTTTTCTCCTAAGAATTATCCTAAGGAAATAACCTAAAATGCAAATGAAGTTTTTATATATAAAGATGTGCATTCCAACATTACTTATGGGAGAAGAAGGAAAAATGCAAACCTCAAAACAAAAGCTTAGTTTAAAAAATGAACTATGAAGGCAATTAAATCACAATTATGAACAAAATGTAATGGCCTAGTAAAATTCTCAGCACATATATATAAAATAAACCAAGATATTTATAGTAATGACCTTTGGTTGGCATAATTACATTGTTTTTATGTATCTTTTCTCATTTTTAGAAGCTAATATTGCTATGCAAGAATGAACATTTGGGCAAAAGTTGGTTTACCATTAGGAGTACATGAAACACAAAGTTTATTCTTGCATAATTATCTATTAGTCATTGTATCATTTTCCTTACAAACCACAGTAAATCTACTTTTGCCGCACCCTGGATCTGAATATTCTACTTTGAACTATTGTAAACAAAATGTTTTTGTTAGAAGCCATTTCATCAAGTAACAGCCATAAAAAATTTTACACACAGTGAAGAAAAGATTGCTGGTTATAAGTAGACTATTACCAGGTGGTTTTTCCTGAAGCATCAAGGACAGTGGTAGAGTTCTCCTATTAATTTCTATTAACAATCAAATTAGTAGAGTATTCAGTTACCAATTTGTATTGCCATCTAAAGGTGAATTTACTTAACAAATAGCTGCATATCTCATTGGAGTCAATTATAATAAAACTGTTTAAAAAAGGATTGGGAACCAATATTTAGTGAGTAAACAGATATGATGCTAAAGGTTTTACATATTTTGTTTAACAGTTGTAACACTATAAGGCAAGTATTATTACCCCATTTTTCAGAGGAGGAAACTAAAACTCAGAGGAGTCACAGATAATTTATCTAGGTTCACAAAGCTAGTAAATAGTGACACAAGAATTTGAACCCAGCTTTTCCACATGCAGAACCCCTAATGATATCAGTAAAGAAAATGAATGATGAGATTGTTCATATTGCATTAAGATATGTTTGAAAATATTTCAACCATAAATAATTTTGAAAAAGGCAATCACTAATTTACTGATGGTTAATAGTTTTTAACAGATTCCACATAGTTAAGACAAATATTTTAACTAATGTTCAACAGGATAATGCCTATATAAAATATTATATTAAATATTTTAACTTTCTGAAAATAATAGGTATAAATAAATACTTGTGGTATTAAACCAAACTAACCTGACACAGCCAACAAAAATTAAAATAGAAAATAAAGATTTCCCTGTCACTTCCAAAAGCTAATAAACACAATTTTATTCAAAATAATAAATTATATTATCAAATTATAATATTAATTAATGTTAGGATACCATTGATCATTAGGTAAAGATGGGGAAAGGGCATGGTTAGGTTATATGATCACAGAGTAAACAAAAATCCCATGTATAGTGCTGCATTTAGTCCCTAATAAAATCAATACTAGATTGATTAAGGATCTAAAGTGGATAAAATAATTTTTAAAGTTTCCATTTTATTTTTTATTTTTAAAGATTTTATTAATTCATTTTTAGAAAGAGAGGAAGGGATGGAGAAAGGGAGAGAAACATCAGTGTGCAAGAGAAACATCAATTGACTGCCTTCTGCAAGCCCCCAACTGGGAACCTGGCCTGTAACCCAGCCATGTGACCTGATGGAAATTGAAAGAATGGCCTTTTGGTCTACAGGCCTGTGTTCAATCCACTGAGCCACACGAGCCAGGGAAAAAAGTTTCCATCTGAATTCTTAAAATCCAACAATTAAAAAACTTAATCTGAAAATTACTTCCTTTTAAATGAGGCACTACAGTGACTTCTGGAATTTTCCTATTTGGATAAGACTATTACAAATCATAGCTCCTAATAAATAAATCTGTCAAAATACTGTTAACCAAGCCAGAGTGAAATTGCTATGGCTTTCATCCACAAACTGTGATCTGAATAATTTTTGCATATTTTTATCAATA